AAAATGGGAGAAAAATTGGTTAGAAAAGGGATAGGAGACCACCAGGAGAGCAGGAGAAAATTTTTTTTTTACAACAGTGGGAAGTCATTTCTGAGCTTCAACAAGGAAACTATCTGGATTTGCTGACAAAGTCAACGCAATCAAACTTTACAAGAACATTTTTATTCTAACCTGGGCTGCCTTCTAAACACCTAAGCAGTGTTTTGAACTAAAGAGACGCCACCAGGCGATCTCGGTGCCGTAGACCAGAGGGTGAAGTTGACAAACCCTTCCAACCCCTTTCCTAGCATTGCCAAGAAAAGGTTGAACATGCCCATTCTTGAAAGTGACTTGACTTGAATTGGAAGGTAGTTCTAATTAACTTTTTAAAAAGCCTCCTTTTTTTTTCTTTCTATTTGAGTTTTTATGTTGTTAACTGCCTTCAGCATTTGGCAGCAAGATCACAACTGCACGGAATTAAATATGAATCAATCTTAACTGAAAGCAAGGATACAGTTAATCAACCATTAATAAATTAATTAAGTCAATAGGAACCTTAAGTATCAGGGCCACAAATATGTTTTATCCCGCGTAGGTTGGTTGGGACATTGGTCTGGTTTTCATTGGCCTGCAAACTTCCCCATTTCCTCCCCTTTTCTTTAAATATAGGCAACCTGGAGCGATGGGCCCAGCAGTATTTTCTGTATGTTCTCCCCATAAATACCATCGGGTAGATGAGCTTTGTAGTCTGCCTCAGTTCCGCTCTGTCCTCTTTCCTGGCCTCGCAATGCTGGCTGGGCTGAGGCTGGGGAGGTTGGGAAGTGTAGTCCCTGCCCCCCTGAAGAGCACCAGGTTGGAGAAAGGGTTCACAACTGGCCAAGTGCACCTGAGTGGTGGGGAAAAAACTGGTTTTCTGGGTGCGTTAAGGGACACCTTTCGCTTCGCCCAACCCACAAACGGATTGCTAAATTAACCTGTTTTGTTAGGTTTGCCCCGTCCATTGGCCTGGTTCTCACAACATACTTTAACTGGGTTCATGGAGAGGTTAACTGTCTTGTGGGAATACCAAAAAGGGCCCAGCAGAGCCAGTCCGCTAATTATCAGGGGTTTAAATTTAGCCCGGAACAAACTCTTGTCTTCGGCTAATTCCATTTTCTCTCTCTCTGCCCTCCGCAACAGGCAAGCAGGGTCAAAGCTGTTTTCAACACGGCTGTTTTGCTTTATTTACAACAAGACTATTTTATTTTGTTTTGCATGCTCTCTTGCAAAATGGTTGGGCCCTTTTGGGGAGGAAAAGCAACAAGAGAATTCATCCCAAGCTCGGGGTTTGCCTGTGAATCCTCCAGCAAAAGGAAGCAGATAGAAAGAGAGGCTGAAATGAGGCTGAAAATAGTCTCTCTTTAAAAAAAAAAAAAATCTACCACCAAGAGGGATGACATGGACTTCTCTGTTCCATCTGTTGCCCAAATTTGATCCTGATCTTAATTTTGGAATTAAAAACGTAGGTTCACTCACTTCTTTGCTTTAGATAATGTGCAACGTATGGCAGAGCCCAACTCTGCTTGGATTCAGTCAGCCTGAAGTGCAATTTTTTCTTCTTCTGTCATCTCTGGACCCGTTTAGCCACCATTGGAAAAGGAATTTGTTGCATAGACATTTACTTTCACCAGGACTTCTGTGCCAATTTCAATGTATTATTATTCTACATATGTTTTCTGATCATGGCCAGGTTTTGGAGATCCTGGGGTCATCCCCTTGCTTTGTGCAGAAGAAAGGGAGGGAGGGAGGGAGGAAGAGAAAGGGGGAAGGAAAGAAAGAAAAGCCACCTGAGTTACTGAACCAATCACCAGGTGACAGTGAATTCTAGTCTTAAACCTGAAAGCCAGCAGGGTGACTTTTGGGCCAGTCAACCCAAACTCACCTCACAAGGCTGTTGTGGGGAAAAGAGGAGGAGGAAAATGTGTTGGATTTGCCACCTTATTTGTAAAAATAATAAAGGCAGGATACAAATAAACCCTGGTTTGTTTGGTAAACCCTGATGTATGATGTAATGCATCACATGGACTTGGTTGGAGTTCCTTCATTAACACCATGGCTTAGCGTCCTGTAGCAATTAATCTGGGTTATCCAAGTTCTAGATTAGCCTGTACCCGCTTTAATATTTTTATGCAGCCCATTTGGATGCGTGTATACGTGTTTGTGTGTGCAGATCTGTGAATGTCTGTGCAAAGACAATAAACAGTGGGAGAAAAGTAATCCACTTCCCCCTTCCAATATTGATATAACCCCCCCCCCCCAATGAGTTGAATTTGGACTCAACTCAATCCAAGATTGCTTCCAACTCTTATTCTGAATTTTGTATTCTAAATTTCAATGTATTTTTAAAATCTGCTACAGCATAATGCTGCAATGCCCACATTGACCACTAGGGAGAGCTCCGGCAATTGCCTTTTCGGCTGGACTCTACCACGGCTGTAAATTTAAGATTGAAAAAAACAAAACACAAATTAAAATTATATACATTCTTCAACAAAAGGTTAAAAAGATGGAAGGGAAATATTTTTCATTTAAATATCAAGTTCTGATTTCAATATGTTCCGTTGTCCCGGATTTCAATTCAGATCTAAAATGGGCTTTTTCAGACCTGTCAAGATTAAGCAAAGATCAAATCATAATATTAACATGATCCATAATAAATGATTTTCCTACTTAAGAAAAAAATATTTAAAAAAAACAATAATAGCAAATGCACAAATTCCTCAAAATCCACCCATGACCCTGAGAAAAAAAATGGCCATCTACCTGAGGTCAGAATGTAAATATCCCATCCGGTTAAAAATTCTAATAAGGGGTGTCAAAAAGTTTTGATTTATTATGCCAATTTTGCCCGGGAGTTGGGAATCTCTGCTTCTAGCTGTTTTAGGAACAGCTCCTATTTTTAAAAAAATGTGTTTGTGTACGCACACATGTGCATGATCACACACACACCCATTAATTTTGAGGCCAGCCAGTAGTTGGTCAGAAAAATCTTTTTATTACCTTCATTCATTTGGTTTAAAGAAAGGGGTGTGTGGAAAACACCACCAAGTGGCATAAAGGAGAGATAACAAACTCAGTTCTAGATAAAAAGAAAAGAGGGAAAAACAAACTTTAGGAATACTATAAAACCATGTTTTATAGATCCACAAGGGGGAAAAAAAAACTTATGCCTTTGTCAAATGCACTGTTCTGTTAAGAAAAAATTAAAAATCCCAAACTCTCTGAATTCACCCAAGCTTCCCCAAGCATAAATAATTCAACTTTTTGCAACTCAAGTTTGCTCCAAACACTAAGCGCTAGCTAATGAAGAAAGCTTTTTTTTTTTAAAAAAAGAAGAAGATAGCAGATGCTGTTTTCTTCCAATCTGGTTTGTCTCAAGAAGAGAGATCATTCTCTTTCCTTTCGTTTATTCATTTGGATAAGGCTTGGCCCTCCTCTTCCCAAATATCAAAAATGTGCATGAGAACACGGAGTTAAATACTTTCAGTCAAGGGCATTTTCAGTTGAAACTAGTCAACTATTTTGTTCCAAGCAAAACTTTGTGTTAGGCTAAACTTAAAGGCTGGGCTGGCAAGCAAATCCCATCAGTTGAGTCATTCAGGTTACTCATGAGTAGCAGCAACTGAAGTTAGATTTGCAACCCCCCCCCTCTAAGCTCCTTTTGATAAGCAAAGGATAACACAGCCACATGCTCTCCCCCTTTTATAATTGGCCTTTTTATTAAGATTATAAATTTAAACAAATCTGAACAGTTTTACCCGGTGATATACAATTCAGTATGCGCGCACACACACACACACACACAAAAATATACAGAGATACAAAGGGAGGTTGGGGGAAAAATAATAGTTTGGGCAATGAGTCCTTTAATACACAGTGCTGAATGTGAAGTGGATGGCAGATTGAAAAAAAACTACCTTTTTACAACAAAAGGCTATTTTCCTCCCTTCCCTTGCAAAATAATAATTAAAAAAAAAAAGAACAAATTTAATTTCCATCCCCCTCCTGTCTGAGAAATAAAAAAAAGGGTTACAGAAACAGACTTTTTATTTATTTTCCTGCACACAGGACTGAACAATGCTGGCTGGTTGAGGAGTTTTTGTTTTTTTACAAAAAAAAATTGAGGAGTCAATCCAACACATTTAAAGACACGAAAATAGTGTACTCAGGAGCTGGTAGAGTTGTTTGCCTCTTTCTTGCACGCCTCCCTTGGGATGAAGGGAAGCAGACAGCTGTGCATGATGGGAGCCGTTACCTCCCCCAAAACCCATCTACAAATGGAAGGGTTGCAAGGGTGTGTGTGTGTTGCGTGCTTGTGTACATGCAAGGACAAAATAGCAACCATCTCCAAAGTGGTCAATGGATACAAAATCACCCTATGAAGAAATTTCTTTCTGCAGCATAAAAACATGGGGGATGTTTTGTTTTTTAAAAAGAGGGGGGCAGAGGGGAGGCCCATATCCATTAAAGGGGAGCCCCCCTCCCCAAAACCCCAAGCAGCTGCAAAGTGGGGAGAGGGAGAGAAAATGCATACAGTACATTTGAGTTGAGGGCAGTGACTCTTAAGAGCGGAAATCCGTTGAAAACCCAGCATTTTCAAGGGGCTTTCAAAAGAAACCCTAACTCTGAAGCTTTTAAAAAATATTTCTCACCCCAACCTTACAGCCGGGGAAGGAAAAATCGCCTTCTTTCCAGGCAGGGACCTCTCCCCAATTTTCCAGTTTAAGCTTTTTTTTTCCCCCTCAACGCCCCCTTTCCAAGTAGGCAGAACCAACTCTTGCCCCCCCAAATCTCACCTTTTCCCCCATGCGGCACTAACGCTCATTCACGGTCCCACCTTCCCCCCCCCCCACCTTTTTTTTTGTTTTTTGTTTGTTTTGTTTTTTAAAATTACCTTCCCCTCCTCTTTCAAAAGAAAAAAAAAAGCAAGAAAACAATAATAATAAAAAAAGGCTTGGAGCCCGGTGGGGGGGAAGGAGAAACACACACACACACACCCTCCAACTCAAAAGCGCCGGGATATCAAGAAACAAAGGGAAAGTTATTCGCCCGTCTTCCGCGTTCCTCGCTGCCCGAATCGTCTCGCCTCTGCTCAGCCAGCCGTCCGCTGCAAAAAAAATTGAGCTCCGATGGCCCCGGGAAAGTCCGTGGTCCAATTTTAGAAAACATTCGCTCGGTTCGACGCCCACCCCCCCCCCCCCCCACCATCCTTTCCTCCCCCCCCCCCCCCCCTCCCCCCCCCCCCCCCTCCCCGCCCCCCCCCACCCCGTCCAAAAAGGGGCCGAGCGGCGGGGAGAGCCCCGCAAAAGCCGACCCCGGCCGCTCTCAAAAGGCCACGATGGCCCGCGTCCAAGCCCCCAAGCTGGCCAGCGCCTGTTTGCCGCACAACTGTCCGCTGGAGAGCTGCTCCGAGTCCGACGGCGGCGCCGGTGGGGGCGGCCGGCTCACCAAGCCGCTGAAGCTGGAGCCGAAGATGGAGATCAGGCTGGAGATGTTGGAAGCATCCGGCGAGGAGGAGGAGGAGGACGGATGGGAGCAGGAGGAGGAAGAGGAGGAAGGCGAGGGCGCCTGTCCAGCGGCGGTGGGGAAGCCTTCGAAGCGGGCGCGCTTGGCACAGGAGGCGAAGGGCGAAGGCGCACCGGGAGGCGGCAACAGCGGCGGATCCCCAGCGACGCCCGCCGGCTCGTACTTGCGTTTGGCGCCCGGGCTGGGCGGAGGCAGCGGCGGCGGCGGCGGGCAGCAGCTGGCAGCGGAGGCCACGACGGCGGGGACGAGGCCGCCTGGCGGGCAGGGCGCGCAGCAGCAGTCCTGGTGCAGGTAGCCGTTCTCCACCGTGGTCACCACGTGCGTGTCCAGATCCAGCACGGTGGTGCGGCTCGAGCAGTGCGCCGCGGGGCCCGACGGCGGGATCCCCGAGGGCGCGAACTCCGTCCCGACGCCTCCGCTGCCTCCTCCGCCGGAGCTCGACCCGGGGTAGCCCCGCGGCGGGTAGAAGGGCAGCGGCGAGTCCCGGCACACGGCCGCCGCGCCGGGCAATCCCAAAGCGTCGTCGGCGGGCGTCGTCGGCGGTGGTGGCGGCGCCGGCAGGAGCAGCATCGACGGCGAGTCCGGCCTGGCCAGGGCGCAGCTCCGCAGCTGGAGGCCCTCGGGTCCGGAGGCGGGCAGGGTCTGGAAGTCCGCGCCGGCCAGCTCGCCCAGCGGCGGGGGAGCGCAGACGGTGGGCGCAGGGGCCAAGGGCAGGGCGCCGACGGCTCCGTCGAGGTAGAGCGGGTGCGGCGGCTGGCCGGGCAGGGCGCTGCTCTGGCGGCGGTAGAGCTCGGCGTAGCGCTCGCTCAGGTAGAGCTGCCGGGCGTTGCGGAGCACGTAGGAGACCAGCAGGTTCTTGTGCAGCTTGAGGCCGCCGCGCTGCGTGCGCGACATGTGGATCTTGCGCAGCGAGAGGCTGATGAGGCTCTGGGCGTCCAGCGCGCACTCCATCTTCCTCGGCGGCCGCTCAGCTTCGGCCGCCCGCCGGCGCCCGGGACCGCATCCACACGCGGCGAGGCCGGCGCTGCCCGGGGCCACTGCTTCAACGGGGGCCGCGCCGGGCAGGATCGCCCGTGCCAGGCGCTTGATGCCCCCCGCCCCGCTCGGAAAAGGCAGCAAAAGCAGCCGGCAACCCCGCCCGGTGTTGGCTCGCCTGGCCACCCGCCCGGCCCTCCCACTCCTGCTCGGCCGTCCGCGCTCGGCAGGGCCAGCACTAAGCGCGGCTTTGCCCAGCCCCCGCTATTTATACCCCCTCCCCGAGCCCGCCCCCGTCGCCCGGGACCTATTGGCGGGCACCTTGGCCTTGGATTGGCAGCCGCCGCCCGCCCACCTGGGGCCCGACTCGCCAATCCAGACGAGGCGGTTCCTTTGTGCTATTCAAATACCGAACGGGCTGACGCGGCTGGCTGGAGCGGGGCGCTCCGGAGAGGCCAGCCGAAAGGCGGGCGGCGGGCCAAGCCGGCCGGGCAGGGGGCGAAGGAGGCGGGCGGCGGCGAAGCGGGCGGGCCAGGGAGCGGCGAGGGTCTCTCGGGGGTGAAGGCGGCGGAGGTGGCCGGCGCTGCCTGGCACAGGTGAGCCTCCCCGGGCCGGCTCGCCACGTGCGGGCCCGGGCAGGGGGTGTGCCGGGCGAGTGGGCGGGGTCTCGCGGTTCCCCGCCTCCCCTGCTGCAGGTGCGGGGTCGTGGGGGCTGCCACCGCCCCAAATCAGCCCTCAATTTGAATTGCTTTGCCTCCCAAATCGCCTGTCTGGGGCTTCCCAAATGCCCGGTGCCCAAATCCACAATTGCGCGCCAGCCCAGATGCGCATCGTCCGGATTTGGGTGGGGGATTCTAGTCTCGGGGAGTTCCATAGGATTTCTTGCTTCTTAGCTGCTCCTCTTTCCCTTCGCAGCTAATCGCCTTGCATTTGCATTAGCAGAGAAAGCATTTTGTTGGGCTTCGTTTTCAAAAGGTCCTTGGAACACGATTTCTTTCCCGGTGGTACCGTCAAAATCTCAATGTTTATTTCACCGGGCATTTTTCTTGCGGTCCGGATAGATTTCAGCTCAGGACCAATAGTGATAAGCCACCTTTGGTGCAATCCCAAAATATCTGGAGCACCATCAGCATTCACCAACTCCGCACCCAACGCCAGTTTGGTTTAGAATAGCCTACATTCTATCTTTGTTTCTTTTGTCAGAGCTGAAGAAGCTTCTTGATGAGAAGCGAAAACGTTTTCAAAGTGAAATCAGAAAGCCCAGCTGCCTCTTGAAAAAAAAACACCTTTGCGACAGCTTACACCCCTCAACTTCACGCCATCAACAACATCTGCCTATTTTAGGTCCTTGGAAAGGACTCCATGGGTGGACAAAAATGCCAACTCCAGTCTGAACATCTGACTGTATGATGAACCATAATTTCTTATTCTGAACACTTGAACACCATTGGCATTGACAAACTCAGGGTCAGTCAATTGCAAAAGGCAGCTTTATCGGCAACAGGTTACATCCTGCAACAATATTTGTAACCCCATCAAACTGCTACCTCTGTCTCTCAAAAATGCCAAATCCAGTCTAAACATCTGGTGCAACCAACCATAATAATTTATTAAATTGTATACCGCTTGGATTATCAATGATTCCGGGTCATTTGCTAAAAAGACCTGGGAATCTTTTTAAAAACAAAAAACAAAACCTGATCCTATGGATAATGCAGAGAGCACCGAGGCAGACTTGTTAACCCATTAACAATTAATTGCAAGCCCCCGTGGAACTAATTTGCCCTTGTTTTATGTCAAACCGTGATTTTCTCCTGGAGCAAAACAACTGTAGAAGGAAGGTTTGGACAATTTTTTTTCTATATTTCCTTTAAGGGGCAGTTTAGCCTGGCTGGTCTTGGAAAATTAAGCAGGGTTTAGGAGTGCTTTTGATGGGAGTTGGATGGGGACCTCAGAGGTCATCTAGTCCAACCTCCCAGAAATCTCAGACAAGCAAAGAGACTGGGAAATAAAAAAGGCTTTGGGAAAAGGGGGAAAAAATCCATCAGTTTTGAGCTGCTGCTGTTGCTGGAACAGCCTAGTCTTGTCCTTGAAATCCCTAGAAAGTTGAGCTTGATTCAAAAAGGAGATTTTATTTTCTGCTATATAATTAGTAAGCATTTAATGGGATTTGGGAAGCCGCTTTCAACTTGACTAGGTTGGGATTGAGCAGTTTGGAGTTCTTTGCACTGTGGGAAAACTAAATAGCCTATTAATCTGTCGGATGATATCACCAATCTGAGAAATACATTACCCGTCTATGAAGGATACACATTTTTGAGGGACTTCTGCTTGCTAAAGATTACAAGCCTTGTCCTTGTGTTATGACTGTAATGGAGACCGCCCACCGCCATTGTACCTTGGGATGATCGTAAAGCAGGTCAGTTGCACAACCAACCCGATTTTACAACCTTTTTTTTTTGTGGCGGTTGTAGAGTAAATCAGTGGCCATTAAGCGAATGAAAGCTTTATGGGGGTTTTCTGAAAATTGTTTTGAAATGCAGTCACATGACTGGGATGCTGTGCTTGGTTTGTAAATGCTGCCGGATTGCAGAGCTCTTGAAGTTGTGAGTTTGTGACTTCGCCAGTGCTTCCCTATCTTCCCACGAATGCCTTCATTTGGACTCCCAGAATTCCTCAGCCAGCCCGCTTTCAGAGGTCTGGGGAATCCTGGGTGTTGAAGTCCACTGTTGTGGTTAGCTGGCAGCAGGTGCGGACGGCTGAGGAGAGCGAGAACTCAGTTGAGGGGCCAGGACCATTAGGGAGTAGACTGCTGCCTTCAGAGATTGTGGGGGCTGGCAGCAGCGATGAGGAGGTTCCCGAGGAGGCTGTGCCAAGTGCACGTGTGCGCAGAGTTGCTCGCAGGAAAGAGCAGCTGCAACAGCATGGGCGACTCGAGAGTAAGGCTGCAAGGTAATGGCCTCTCCCTTAAGGGATAAAAGCCAGCCCTCGGAGGTGGGATTCTTTGCAGGAAGCAAAGAAGTTCTTGCGCTTCAAGCCTTGTGGAAGTGCGGACTATCCTGATTTATGTTTGGAGACTTTTGGTTTTGAATATTTCCTTGCAATTTAATCTAGTGTGCTTGGCAGCCTTGCACAACCTTGGCAAGGTTTGTTCTTATCTGGGACAATTAGTTTTGACAGTTTTTTACACTTACGACCAGGGCCATGTGATCACAATTCAGACACTTGGCAACTGACTCATATTTACAACGGTTGCAGTGCCCGGGAGGGTGACGTGATTCCCCTTTGGTGACCTTCTGACAAGCAAACTCCACGGGGAAGCCAGATTCACTTAAGAACCATGTTACTCACTTAACAACCAACTGTTGGCAAGAAAGGTCATAAAATGGGACCAAACTCACCGAAACTGTTCCGCTTAGCAACGGTAATGTCAGCGTCAATTGTGCTCATAAGTCACACAATCGTGCCCGTGAGTTGCAATGCCTCTATTGCAAAAGATCGTACCCTTCAAAAAAATAATGGTTCCCCACTAAAACAAAAAAAAACCATCACAGCAAAACACTGCCCTGTATTGAAAAGTATTTTACTGGAATGAAACCTGTAAACAAATCTTCTCAAACGGCATGAAGAGCTCAGACAGAAAGCAGGGAGGGAATGAAAACCTGTAGAAGAATTTTTCCGCACGAATCACCTCCCATGCTCTGCTCAGGAAGAGCCACGAAGTTGCAGAGAAACATGTCAGGGGAGAATTAAATTTGTCTCAACGTGCATCCCAGCCCAAACCTGTTCAATTATAATCCTGCCGGTCGGTTACCAGGTTGCACGAAAGGAACCGGCGGAAACAGCCCGGAGGACATCTGTCTCCCCGTTGCGCAAAAGCCAGCCTTCTCCAAAGCAAGCTGGAACCCAACACTGTGGGACTGAGCAAAAACAACTCACTGGCGGGAACAACAACAAGACGCGGTTGTCACGGAGGACGGAAGAAGAGGGGTCCAGCCCAAAGTTAGAGAAAGGGGGAGCCGGTTGCAAAGGAAAGCGGAGGAGGAAAAGGGAGGCACAGCAGCCGCAGAGGCCGTCCGTTTCTGCAAAACGGAAGGGTCTAGTTTTCTGCTGGCTGTAATGCCAACAGAGCATAGCTGGAAGGTTGATTTCACGTCTGTTTTCTGGTTTGTCACAAAGTCAGCCAGATGTTGCAACTGGATTTGGCATTTTTGTCCTTCCCAGGGACCCAAGATAGGCAGATACTGAAGTTTTGTGAGCTTGGAGGTCTCACTGCAGGATGTCAGCTCTTCCCAGTAAAGCTGCCTTTTGCAATTGATTGATGGTGAATTTGTCAGTGTTGACAATAGAATAGAATAGAATAGAATAGAATAGAATAGAATAGAATAGAATAGAGTATGGAATAGAATAAAATAGAATATGGAATAGAATAAAATAGAATATGGAATGTGAATGGAATGGAATAGATTAAGGAATAGAATAGAATAGAATATGGAATAGAATAAAATATAATATGGAATGTGAATGGAATGGAATAGATTAAGGAATAGAATAGAATAGAATAGAATAGAATACTTCATTGGCCAAGTGTGATTGGACACACAAGGGATTTGTCTTGGTGTAAAGTATTCAACACAGTATTCAAGTGTTCAAATAATAAATTATTATGGTTCATTGTACAGTCATCAGGTATTTAGGCTGGGTTTGGCATTTTTATCCCCCTGTTGAGACCTTTCCAAGGACCGGGGGGGATGAACAGATGTTTTGATCTGTTTTGATGGTGTCAGAGGTCTTGTCACAGGATGGAAGCTGTTTCAAATACAAGCTGCCTTCTGCAATTGACTGATGGTGAATTTGTCAATGCCGACAGTGTTCAAGTGGTGCTCCACTTGTTTCGGGGGTTTCACCCGAGGTGCCTTACTATTATTTGTGAAATTTATTTGCTGGTTCTCTCACTGTGGGCCTACTCTAGCCAGTTTGCAAGAATGAAAAAAGAGAAATGAAAAGAAGTGTAAGCGTAACAGTAGTAAAAGGCAGGTAGTTGTCTTTTGACATACAACCACTCATTTAGTGACCGTTTGAAGTTGCAACAGCACAAAAAGTGACCAGTTTTCACACTTACGATTGTTGCAGCATCTCCATGGTGAAGTGATTAAAATTTGGGCGCTTGGCAACTGACTCATATTTATGACGGTTGCAGTGTCCCGGGAATACATGATCCCTTTT